AAAGAGCTTTGATCCGTGTCTGTGTCAGTCAGCTGTCCCGCCTCCCAGTGGTTCTGACAGAATTGCCCCTGCAAGAAGGGAGGCGAAACAGGATGAATTATTATTATTATTATTATTATTATTATTGAGACAGGGTCTATGTGGCCCTGGCTGGCCTGGAACTCAGCAATCTGCCTACCTCTGCCTCCCAACTCCTTCAATTAAAGCCATAAGCCAGCATTTCATGGTGCCAAAAAGTGATATGCAGATGATTGGGGGAGAATCATCCCCTATAATTCTGCTAATGACAGACCTCGCATGTTGCACTATCAACATACCAGAGGTTTCTGCTGGTGCAATAGTGGAGCTTCTAGTGTATGTATAACCAGCAAATTTTTCGATTGGATATAATGCCCGATCCTAGGGGTGGAACACACATCTGGTACTGTAGACCAGACCAACATCCTGTGGCAGGGGAGGATATAGGCCCCAGTGGGAAGCCACTGAAATTGTTTTGTTAGATGGATGTGATGCACCTGCTAAAGTACTGTCCAAGCATTTGTGTTTACACCCATAGGTTATTAGAGCAGCCATTGTTTAGATGTTCTTGCTTGTTCTTGCTTCTTGCTGTTTGTGTTTTTATAGCAGATGGAATCCCACTGAAATGGGCCAATAGCCCATGGAAAAGACCATGTAGAGACCTGAAAGTTCAGTGCCTTACCACAGTGGGAGGAAGATCATCCCACACCTACCACCCTCTCCAAGACTCAGGGACTTTTGTGGAAGAGGTTGGCAGAAAGAATGTAAGAGGCAGAGGAAGGGTGGAGTGTTACCTGGACGTGTCCTCTGACCACTATGCTGGCAAGCTATAGTCACACCTCCTTCCCACTCAACGAGTTGAATGGGGAGTCAGTTATCCCTCCCACCCAGTCAGTTTTGACTTTAGCTGCATATGGGGGAGGGGCTAAAGATATATAAGCTGAGAATGCCAGGAGGCCCCTCTCTCACAACTTTCTGCAGCTGTCAGGAAGTCACAGGATCTATATTAGAGTGTGGACTTGCCAGTGCAGCTGTAAATGGAGGCACCCACTCCTCTGTAAATAAACCCCCACCCTATGCTCTGTTAAAAAAAAAAAAGGTGTTTGGATAGATGAGAGGGATCTGACTAGATTGAAAATGGATGGACTTACACTGGGGAATGCGTGGGGACACAGGACACTGACTTGACACAGTGGGCCTTAACACCCAGGAGAGAGTATATGGGTTCCAGTGGGGGGCTATGGAAGGGTACTGGTGGGGACAGGGCTATAAAGACGATTCAGATTGTTTGAGATATTCTGTATGAAATACAACAAAATTTAATAATAAAAAAGAGCATAAGCCAGTACACCCAGCTACAAACTGTTCTAACATTTGACCCTGGCCAGCCATAAACATCGGTGGATATTATCCAGGAATTCTATTCTGTGTAGTTAGGATTTCTTCTACTCATGGGGGATCAAAGCAACAGATAAGAAGCCAAAACTACGACTCCTTCAAACTTCACCAGTACCTATAAAAAGTGAAGATGTGTCACAGTAAGGTGATATGCATTCTTCTGGATACTCAGAATATATGAATTACCTTATGTCAATATCTGTGGCAGAGGAAAATTAAATTATATAATTAAAAAATACTTCCCCAAGAGACCAGTGTTTGGATGGGAAAGTCTTTAGACCAGCAATCAAATCTTTCCTTCCCTAGTCTACATGGTGCCACAGATAACTCTGCACATTTCTGCAAGGATGTTGAATTTGGTGGAATATGAAACCTGCTGAGTTTTGTAGACAAGTCGACATTCCAAACGTCACTCTTCTAGGTCTTTCTGCGACAGCTTAGGTGGCACTTAAGTAGAAAATCATTTGCTGTGTGGAGTGCTGAGAAAGACAGAGCTGGATCTAAACTCAGCGTTAATGAAGATTTAGCCCAGAGCCATGGTAGAAAAGAAAACCTCAATCACATACCAAAATCATAGACAGATCACCTGTATTTGGTAACAAAGTATTATTATGCACTCAATCTAAGATTCTCTCCACACCTTTCTATAAACAGTACCACTAAACACTGGCTTGGCTCAAGCCAAGAGACATTCTTAGGGCCCCACCTCTTTCAACTTCTTCCCTATTATCAGCAAGTCCTTCCCTCTATCAAACACCCAAATCTGCCAATTTTTCTCTACCTTGAATACTCTTACCCTAGCTAAATTAAGCCCCAATTCTCAGTCTTGGATAAGTTGGCCTCTTCTGGGGTCCCTGTTTTCACTTTTCCCCATCCTCCACTACAGTCTACAATCTACACTATGGACCTTCGTGAATTAAATAAGGCCATATCACTGTTCTTGCTGAAAACCCTCCAGTTCCTTCCCAATGCATTTGGAACAAAATCAAACATACAGTTATTTTGCTTTATTTACAGACAGGGCTCCACTAAGTAGCCCAGGATGCCACGGACCTGCCGGGCCTCCAGCTTCTGCCTCACCAGTGCTGGATTTACAGGCATGTGCCACCATATCTTATGCCCCCACCCCCACCCCCAAGGCCCACCTCTGGCCTCTGCCTACCACTCTCTAGCCACGCAGGCTATTTTGCAGGTCCCTGAACAGGGCAATCTCTTCCCCAGTTGCTGTTTCCTGCTTCTGGGGTAGATTTTCATAGGTTAAATCTTCGTGGTCTCTGCAAAAACACGTCCTCAAACCACCACTAGCAACCCTTACCTACCCCTAGTACCTCTACCTCCATTAAGTTCGTAGCTCTACACCTGAAATTCTCTTTTAAACATCGGTTTTGAGCTTATTTCTGTCTTTTCCTTCACCAGAATGTCAGTTTCCAGAAGAGCAGGGAACTTGGTCCCCTCCAGCACCCCCGGAACCCCAATCCAAGACGCACAGCAGGTGTCACGAGCTGGTTGCTAAGCGGGGCATCCCCAATGATAGAGCAAGGTGACAGGGCCGAGCGGGCCGCCTCCCGCACCCTCCGCAGAGGCTCAGAGCGGCGCTTTGCACCGGCCGGGCCTCCGGCGCCTCACCGTTGCGGGGCAGACGGCGGGCTCGCGGCGTGGCCTCGGGGCAGGCC